AAAAATGCAACAGCTCTGCTTCAGGTACTAGTCAGTTGCACCAACAAGGGAAAACCATCGAAGTCAAGGGCATGTCCACTTTCTGAAGAGAAATCAGAGAACTCTGAAACATCTTTCAGAGAGCAGAGGCCCCCTCTTCATGCATCTCTTCAAGAGCAGTGTGTTTGTCCCCCCCAGGTGGAGTGCCACCCGTACCTGACCCAGGAGAAGCTGATTAACTACTGCCATTCTCAGGGCATCTCGGTGACTGCTTATAGCCCCCTGGGCTCTCCTGATAGGCCTTGGTCAGTAAGCTTAACAGTCACTGCTATGGCATTAACAAAGTTAATGATAATGGGTAAAGGACTGTATTGACTAAATTACTTTGTCACACTGCTACAAAGTGAGTCATATTAGGTTGAGTACCACTTCAATATTTGTCAACTCTCTTATGCCTGTCATGTTACTTTCAACTTGTGACTGTTGTTCCTCTTTGTCTGTTCAGCTTGTCTCCCTGTGGCATATTTTCTCATGGTTATTTTTTTCTTTTGTTTTTATAGATCAGTCTTCATTTTGTAGTTCAGTGCTTTATTTTTGGTTTTATGTCACTTTGGAAAAATGTAATGATACATCATTACATTTTTTCATCATACATGTTTAAGCGTTTTCACAACTGGCCACTTTATAACAGCGCTTGATTCAAAGTAACGTCTGACTCCTGTAAATGGTACTGGATGAAATTGCAGGGCTAAACCGGACGACCCCTCACTTCTGGAGGAGCCGAACATTAAGGCCATTGCCGAGAAGCACAAGAAGACCCCTGCTCAGGTACAGCACTCTCAGACTGGCTTGAACAAATTAAAAATGAAACTGATAACTTGCAATAAAGAACAACATAGATCTACAATCTGAGTTTATTCTTAATTAAAGCAGTAGACATTAGCACAGATTATTAAAATTGCAATGGTGTGGCTCTTTCTGTAAAAGTAATGGCCTGTGATCACATCCACATGTTACTACTCTTTCTCCTTTCCTACCAGGTCCTGATCCGCTTCCCCATCCAGAGGAACGTGATTGTGATCCCTAAGTCGATCACACCTCAGCGCATTCGGGAGAATTTCCAGGTACAGTAATTAGCTGACAAATTGTTCAGATATTTTTTGAGATCATCCCTCAGTCTGCTTTGCTTACTTGCCCTTTTGGCTTGTGCATGTTGTTGCATGTGTTGTTTAAATCTTTGCAGGTATTTGACTTTGAACTAACTGAGGAGGAAATAAAGACTATATTAGGATTCAACAGGAACTGGAGAGCCTGTCCAATGCTATGGTGAGAGAATTCTCTTTTTCTCATAATCTTTGCTTTTTGCTTGCAAAATCATGAAGATGTGTAGCGGACAAGCTCTTCTCATTTTCCCTTTTTTTTCTCTGTAGGAGCACAAAACACAAGGACTTTCCTTTCAATACTGAATTCTGAGAAGAAATATGCCAGTTCTCCACAGGTTAAGCGTCTGTGCAGCAGTTTATTTCTTTACAAGCTAGGATGAAAAACACCACTTGTTACTGGTCTTGTCTGCATGCGGTTTTTACAATACCATTAATAAAAGTTAAAGCCATTATGGGGTAATGAGGTTTTTTATATACTAGTACAACTGAGTATGGGACTCTTCTCTCTACATGGTCATGTCAGTTTCTTAGCTTTAACACACAAATGATTTTTTCATTGTATTAGTATTTTACCATTCTACCATTTTACCTTGTTGTTAGTGTGGTATTAAAGTTACTAAAGAACCAAAAGGTGTGCCATACAAAGTAAAGTAAATAATTTTCAAGTAACACTTCTGAGTCAGCTCTGAGAACACACACACAGAAAAATTAAAAGTGCATGGAGTAAGTTTTATTACATGTAAGGAAAATAAACCAACATTAAATTCTCATAGCCAAAATATAAAATTTGTAAGTAAAAACATTTTTATACAACAAATATGTTCAGAAATGTATCAAACAGTAAGACAAAACACCCATTTAACTTGCTCAAAATGTCAGTTTGTGACCAGCTTCATTTTTTTTTACAACTTGGTCAAACGCGTTAGGACTTTAGAATAAATTTGTCTACAAAATTATAAGCATAATGCAATGCTGTCTTTTTTTGTTTCCCTAATTTCTGCTTAGGGATATAAAAATTAACTTTGATTATTGTACTGTTTAATGTTAAAAATCAGTTTATTGATATGCACATATTCTAAACCAGTTTCCACCTGTCTAAAAAATTTAAAGACTAGTCATACATTTAAAACCTTCTACCAGTCTATAAACTGGTTCACTGCCGCTGCCTCAGTGTTTAAGTGATGAAGATGGCAACACACATGGGCAACGCGGCTCTGAATTCTTGCATCCTGCTCGACACGCATTATGATGACAGTGCTTGTTTGCTCCTCTGATGTTTCAGCTATTCCAACTGGTTTGCTTTTATGTAATGTTTTCTCTCTCGTGTTATAGCACTAGTGGCAACACTAGTCCAGCCTTTTGTTAAAAAACCTGATCTATAAATTCAGTGTAACAGTTTTAGGCCTGAGGCAACTTCTAAATTAAAGCTCTATTCTAAGCAGTTTGGTGTTTGAGTTTTCTCTGAATTTTTCTGTTCATGTTAAGAAAGTTGTTTATTCCTATTTTTATAGGAGTATGTTTTACATTTGCAGATGGTTCAAAATGCAGCAGCTCATCTTCTGGCAAAGGCAAAGTGCTGTGAGGGCACATTATTGGCCTTTGAGAATAACATGTCCAGATATGGTGGTAACCTGTAAACTTGCCACCAGCCTGGCCTCTCTGAGGGTTAGGACCATGCTGAGAAAAGAATATCTAGATTTTTGTCATTTTTTGTATTTCTATATTTGTAGTGTTTAAAAGCCTTTATGGGGTTAATGAGTGCACTATGCCTTATTAACAAGGATTAGGTCTTCCCTCTTGACCACTCCTTTGATCAATCATGGCACGAGTCCCAGCTCCCACTACGTCTTCATTCTGGTATGCATACGCTCCAATGAAATGCCTGTAACCAGCACTTAAAACCGACTTCACAGCCTCAGTGGTCTTTCTTGGTCCTGCCTGCAGAGGCAGGGTGGTAATAGAGCAAAAGAAAATTGCAGATACAGATGAGCACCTGTAAGATATGTGTGTGATGCTCTGGCTTTATGTCAGTGAATAAAATGTGTAACAGTAAGAAATGTATATAAAGGGCATGTTGTCATTGCTGGTATCACTAGTATAGCTGCTTTTGCCATAACCTCATCAGGCAGAGGTCTATGTGCAGCAAATGGTTAACAATTACCTTCTTATAGAAGAGACTGTTGATGTCAGTCAGAAACCTCTGTACTTTTGAACTTGGCTTGCAGGTACAGTGGATTTAGGCAGGAAGGCAATGAATTAATTACATTAAGATACAATACGGTTAATACCCACAAATTGAACCACTGAAAGATTGTTAAAAGAGAGAATGTTAAGTCCATTCAGTCAGCAGCCTTGTCCTCCATGTTCCTATGCCTACAATAAGCATTGCTGCTCCATTGTTCGGTGTAAATGATGGTATCATGTTGGAGATCTGTTGCAGGTCTCAATCTAACAGGATTGGTCAACAAGTGGACTCTTACCACACAGCACTCAGAAGAGGCAGCCTTTTGTGCAATAAGCAGTGAAAGAGGAGGGGTTAATGGGTAGAAAGAAAGTGTTTCTGGTTGTAATTGGTCTGCTCTGCATGCAGACCACAGAAATATTGTAGCAAAGGCAGAGGCATTGCAGAGAAAGGAACAAATCAGCACAAATTATATGATTATTTTAAAAAAATTGTACCATATAGCATGAAATAAGTGCAAGGGTTTTTGTGAATTTGGAATTCTTATCATTCCGATCAGACCTGCGATCAGTTAGGCATAAGATCTGATGAGCTGTTTGAGCCCTCGTTCTTGTGTGCGCAAGAAAAATTCTTTGGTCTGGCAAGGTTGTTGTCTTGTGGCAGCTAATTTAGGCTAATAGCAGACTGGCTTGAAATTGTTGTATAGTTAACTGACACTGAGACATTTTTCTGAAAACATCAGCTCCTCTTCTTGTGGTACCGTTACACTACCTATCTATTTTTTATGTAAAGTATAAGAAGATGATTATTTATCTGCATGAAATCAATGGCTTGGCATGTTGCCCTCACTGAGACCATTACCCAGTTAACAGATGTTGTATAGAGTCATCACAGCTTATCCCTAAATGCGTCTGTGCTTATAAATGGCGTGGTCTTATAAAGACACAAATCAGCCCTGCCATGTTTTCCTCTTTTACTGCAGCCACTTCAGCTATGTCTGCTTTCTTAATCGACAGTCATACCATGACCCACATTTATACCCCAGTGCCTTTGGTTTTTTTTTTTTCTTAGCTGCATTCTTCAAGGTTGCAGATTTTGTTGTGCTGTGTAGTACTGGACAGCACGAAGCTCACATCTTTTGTGAAAGTGTAGCATTATAGATTGGTAGTCAATATCTTCATCTGTGAGTAAATGTAGAATCTCACTGCCATGAGGGACACGATAAAGTGAGATGTTAAGATTTTTTTATAAATCAGTAGTCTAGATATCCTTTAGCCCACCTAGCCCATAATGCAGCATGCTCACATGGGTTTGCAGCTACAGTTTCTACATGATGTTTGATAGTGTCTGAAGTTAGAACTTGTGTGTAATCCAGTGGCGGGCCTTCAGTGGAGACTTACCCAACTTAATTCACCTCTTAATACCACCACTGTACGTCGCAATTATAGAAACCATCAATACAAAAACGCAATATAATAAAGTTTGGCATTACAGAGAGAGAGGTATTTCGCGTACTGAGGGTGAATACCGTTTTTACTAAAGCAAGAAACCCAGTTAAGACAACTCCAAAACCTCTACACTACAACCGCAACTGTGATCTCTGCGTTTCAGTTCCATCATAAGCCCTTTTCTAGTTTTGTTCTGACCAAGCAATCAGAGGACGGAAAAATGCTGACATCATTGTGGGCCAGCTAGCTGGCCCTGTGAGGCGAATTTGAAATCTGATTGGTTAAAGAAACAGTCCCATTGCTAATATAGTTCAAGTTACATGGGCCAGCACTTCTGATTCTGAA